ACGAGGCGCATGCGCGCCCCCGCGGGTCGCGCGCGGGCTGGGCCCCATGGTCGCGCGCAGAAAACTCGCGGGCCCCCCCGCGTCGCGCGCGGGCCTGGCCGCGCGGCCTCGCCGACAAATCTGCGGCCCCCGCGCGCGGCGCACCGGCGGGGCTGAAAAAAAAAACGGGCCGCCGCGCCTGGGTCCTGGGCCAGCGGGGAACTAGGGGCGGTTCATTGCGATCGCTGTGCGGGGGAAGCTGTGCGCTGCCCGGCACCGATGGCGGGCGCGCGCTAACGCCGCCCGCCGCGGCCTCGCGTCAGGGCCCGGCGCGGGGCCCGACGGCGGGTCGCCGACGCGCGCCGCGCGCGGCCCCCGCCCGAAAAGTGTCCATGAAGGGCCGCGCGCGCACCCATGGCCCCCGGGAGCTTTTAGAATGCTGGTGCCCTATGGCAGCGCGGGCTTAATCCTCCAGCGCGTTGCGTTTTGTCTCAAGACGCGACCCTCTGCGGGCCGCCGGTCCGATCCATCGGGGCAGTCAGTCGGCGTGGCCCTTGAGGTGGCCCTCGGCCACGGAGGGCGCGTCCTCCGAGGATGCCGCAATTTCGCTTCTTGTTTTTCTCGCGGCGCCTGGGGGCAAGTGCATTTGGCCCCTTCAGCGACGGGCCCGCGAAATCGGACCTCGACGGCGGCGGGGCGGGGCGCGGGGCGCCCCGGCGACGTCGCGCGCGCGCCGGCGGCGGCCTGTTCAGGCTTCCCTGGCGGGGGGCTCCGAGGCCCACTAGGGCCTTCGACATGAGCGGGGGGGGAGGGCCAGGGGGGGGCGAAATGAGGCCGCCGAACTTTTTTCGAACTCCGGCGAGGCCGCCCCAGGGCTCCCCGAGGGGGGGCGGGAGGGGGTCAAACTTTCGATTGGTTTTTAATTTTGGCTTCCAAACTTGTTTCGGACTTTCTTTCAACATTGGAACTTGTTTCGAACTGTTTCAAACATGTTGCGACATTCTTTTAAACATTTGAACTGTTTTTGAACTTGCCCCAACTTGTTTCGACATGTTTTTCTCGAGCTTTAGAATTTGTTTTTTCCGAACTCCGGCGGGGCCGCCGAACTTTTTTCGAACTCCGGCGAGGCCGCCGAACTTTTTTCGAATTCCGGCGAGGCCGCCCGGGCCCCCCCCCCGGGCGGGCGGGGGGGGGTCAAGCCTTCGAACTTGTTCGAGCTTGTTTCGGATTTTGCTTCAACTTTGAAACTTTGTTTCGAACAGTATTCGAACTTTGCTTCGAACTTATGTTAAACGTGTTTGATGTTTTTCGAACTGGTTTCCCAACGTTGTTCCAAACTTCTTCGAACTCTTGAACTTGTTCCAAACTCCAGCGAGGCCGCCGACATTTTCTCCAATTCCGGCGAGGCCGCTTAATTTTTTTTTTTTCGAATTTTGGCGAGGCCGCCGACCTTTTCTCGAACTCCGGCGAAGCCGCCCCAGGTGCCCCCGGGGGCGGGTCGCGGGGGGGGGGGGGGGGGGTGCGCTCTGTACATAGGGGGGCCCGTGGAAGGGGGGGGGCGGGGCAGGGGGGGCGCGGGGGAGAGCGGGCCTCAGAGCGGCCTGGCGCTGGAGGCGGCAGAGCGCGCAGCGCGTTGCCTTGTAGTCCCGCGCGAGGCGGTTGGGGCTGCGCATCGCGGCGCGCCTTTTTCTTTTGCTGGCGCCAGAGGCGTCGGAGCTCGCGGCGCATTGCCTTTCTCTCTGCGCGAGACGGCTAGGGCCGCGCAGCGTGGCGTGCAAGCAGCGGCGCGGCTCCTGGCAGGAGCGATGTGCCCGTTTTCCCGTCGGGGCCCGATGGTCCAGGCTTCCTAGATGGGGTCGGAGTAGATGGGGTCGGAGGATCGCTCCACGTCACCGATGCATCGCCGATGCGGCTCGATGCGCAGCCCGATTTGCTCCGCGTCGACGTCGCCGATGCACTGCCCGCGTCGACGACGCATGGCCGGTGCATCGCCGACGCGTCGTCGATGCATCGCCGATGCATCGGCGACGCGGCGCGTTCCTCCGACCCCGTCTACTCCGACCCCGTCTAGAAGGCCTCTAGATGTGCGGCAGGAAGCGAGGGTTCCATTTCTTGCGCCATGAAGCCATGAAGCCTCCTCCTCCTCCTCCTCCTCCTCCTCCTCTCTCCTCCTCCTCCCCCCCCCTCCTCCTCCCCTCTCCTTCTTCTTCCCTCCTCCTCCTCCTGCTCGTCTTCTTCCCCTCCGCGCACCCTCCCCCCCCCCTTCCCCCCCCCTCCTCCTTCCCCCCTTCTTCCTCCTTTTTCCGCCCTCCCCCCTCTTACCTTCTCCTGCCCTTCCGCCCCCCCCCCCCCCCCCTCCTCCGCCCCCCCCCCCCCCCTCCTCGCCAGCCCCCCCGGGGGGGCTTGCCGGCACCCCGCGAGCTCCCGTCGATGCTCGAGCCACCGGGCTCAAGGAGGCTGGCTGGGACATCCAGCCCAGGACGGAGGGCCCCAGATTCTAAAGGCGGCTCCCCGGTGGCCCAGAAATCGCGAACGGCCGTCTCGTCGTCGCCGTCGTCGTCGGCGTCGTCGTCGTTGTCGTCGTCGTCGTTGTCGTCGTCGTCGCCCGTCGTCGTCGTCGTCGTCGTCGTCGTCGCCGTCGCCGTCGTCGTCGTCGTCGTCGTCGCCGTCGCAGCCGCCGCCGCCGCCGCCGCCGCCGGGGGGCCGCGCCTCGACATGCGCCCCTGGCGCGCCCCCCGAGCCCAGACCTCAGACGTCGTCGGCCGGGCGCCCTCAACGAGGAGGAGGAGGGGGGTGAGGAGGGGGGGGAAGGGGAGGGGGGGGGGCGAGAACGAGGAGGGGGGGAGGGAGAGCGGGGGGGGGAGCAGGGGGAGGGAAAGGGGGGGGAGGGGTGGAGAGAGGGGGGGGCGAATTGGGGGTGGAGGAGGAGGGGGGTGAGGGAGGAGACCGCGTAGCCATTATGGCTCGAGCATTTTGGCCCAAGTCCCACTTGGCCCCCGGGGGCCGCCCGCGCCCGCGCTTCACGGGGGCGCGGCGAGCGGGGGCCATGGCGGGTTCGCCCTCGCCCCTTCGGTTCCCCCACGCTGCGCGCGCGGCCAGTGGGCGCCGCCGCCCGGGGGGGGCGCGGCGCGCCGCGCCGCCCACCCCGTCGGCTCGGGGCCATTGCAGGCACGCCGTCGAAGCGCGCGCAGGGGGCCCGGGGGCGGCGTGGCAACAGCTCGCGCTTCCATCGATCGCTCGCCCTATTTGAAAATGTTCCGAACTTCCGCTGCGGCTCAATGTCGAACTTGCTTGTCGGCAGTTTCTTGCGTTCGAACTTTCTACTGCCGCTCCTGCGCTCTGCAAACGTTAGCGCCCGCCGCCCCGCGTTTTCGAACTCGGTCGTTGTGCCGGGGGGCCGCCTTGAATTGTTTCTTTCGAATTTTCGGTTCGGGGGCTCTTCGAACTCGAACTTTCGGCATCTCCCCCGCCCGAGCTCCAACCCGAACATCGCTTGTTTTCCTAGGGTGGCCGTTTCTGCCCCGCTCAGCCACTTGCAAGCGCAGGCTGCCCCCCTCGAGCAACAGCGCGGGGCCCGGACCAGTGATCTCGTAGACAATCTTCTTGGAGCTGCCTCCCACGTCGCGCCAATGACCAGCCCGTCGCGGCAGGCGTTCCGCTCGCTTCGCAGACGCCCGGGACCCCCGCTTGAACGCGCCCCGCTCTCCTGTCATCCAGCGCCCCGGGGCGACTCGGCGCGCGAGTTCCAGGTGGGCTGCCATCGGGAAGGGGCCCCTCCACCACCCTCTCCTCCTCTGGACAGGTTCTCTCGGACCCGAAGAGCCTCTTGTCCACCGAGGTCGCTAGGTACTCTGGATTTTGGCGGGCTGCTCTCGAGCTTCTAGATGATGGGGATGATCCCCCATATCATTCACCCCTCGAGTTTTTGGAGCCAGATGCGATTAGGTCGGTTTCCAGCACTTACGAGGGCGGCTGGAGGCCCATCGGCTTGCTTTCATTTGTCCATCGGCTACGGGGCTGGCTTCGGCAATCGCGCGCGGCCCCATGGGGGGCCAACAGGGTCGAGACGATCTCTCTGCAGGACCTGTTGCCGGTGCCGCAGACGTCGCGTTGCGCCAAGCTGCTCGCGCTGAGCGCCTGGGAATCATTTTGCACAATAATAGTATCCCTCTCCCAATGCCTCCTCTCATTATTTGCACGTAATGCGTCCATTTCTACATTTGTATTCTAGAAGCGCGTTTGTTGCACGTAGGACTTATTAGTCATCATATTTGCATTCAGTGCATGTCGTTTCATATTTCTGGGGGGTCTCGGGTGCGAAGGTGCACTTTTGGGCGAGCCAGAACCATTTGAGCATATGTCCGCAAATGGTTTTTGGGATCCTATATCTTGCCAATTTCTGCTGTAGTTGTCCTTTCTGGGCCCCAGGACCTGCAGATCGAGGTCCGGGATGCTCCGCAGTGGAATTTCCTTGTGTTTAGAGGTCCTGGGCCTTCCTACAGCATGTTTTCGGCCTTAGGAACCTTTTTCAGATATCATTTCTGAAGGGTCCCCGAATGCATATTTTAAGAGCGGTTTTCCTGGAACCTGAGACGCTCTGCCTGGCAACGGGCATCGTCTCCAGGGCGCTCTGGTGAGACTGGGCACGGCAGCGTGGCCAGCCTCACTTCAGACCCTGTACAGTTTGTACTGTTTCACTTTTGGCTCAAGTCCGACCGAGACGTCGGCATTGTGTCCCTCGTTAGCGCATGGGAAAACGACGGACCCGTACCATCGACAGTGCCACCGATCGTCACGAGAAGCGTGTGGCTGTGAGCTTGGATTCGTGGTTGCGTGCTGTGTTGTTGAATCTGTACCCGGTTTCCCAGTTGGCTGTGGCATGGCACCTAGAGTTGGTTGAAGCAGAACATACGCTCAAATTTGGTGGACACACTGGGAGGACTTGCCGCGCGACGTGGAGGAGCATCAGGTCGCCCTTGCGAGTTCTCTCTAGAGGAATGAACCCGAACAGAGAATCGTGGATGCCGGCGGCGCGACCGCCGCTGGCGCTGACGGCAGTTCCTTCGACGATCCAGAGCACCAGTGGAGCCCTATCACCGAGCCGGGGGACGAACGCTGGAACAGCGCGCGTCGAGCACTCGAGGGTCTTACTCGAGGTCCAGACCATCGAGAGGCGCATCGTGGAGATTGGGCGTGAGCGCAGGAATGACCCTGCGTTGGAGAACCAGATCTCCGCCTACGTTGGCAGCTTGGCCCAGCAGGAGGTTCGGAGTGAGCTTGCAACTGTGGGTCTTCGGTTGCGCGTTTCCGAGGCCGAAGTTGAGGCTTACCGCGAGAGCGTCGACGAGGACTTCGCTCGCGCCCGACAGTTCTTGCACGCCGAGCAGCAGGAGTACCAGCAACGTATCGCCGATGCTCGGCATGAGGCGACTGTCCACATCCAGGCAGAGCTCAACGAGTACGTGGTCGAGCGCGATGCCGCACTGGCAGCAGTCGGCGAGATCCGCGTTGCTGAGTCGGTCATAGCCGCAGCTGAGGCTTCTCTTGAAGTCAAGGCTGGTGAAGCTGAGGAAGCACTTCGAGGCGAGGCCGCTGAGTTGCTTGGTGCCCGCGATCGGCTGCAGGATGAGTGGCGGCAGGCCGACGCAGAGGTCTGGCGTCAGCAAGGCCGCAACGCCGAGGACCACGCCCAACTTCGCGAGGAGGCCCAGCAGCTCAATCTGAAGTTGCAGGAAGAGTCCGAGATTGCCGAGTTGGCTCGCCGCCGATTGGCGATTCGGCCCAAGCGCATGACGGTGGTCTTCGTGAAGGGCTTAGTGAGGCTGCTGTCCGATGCGAGGCGGCCGAGGCCGATGCGGCCAGGCAAGTTGCAGCAGCCCAGGCCGATGCAGACGCCAGAGTGGCCGCTGCGCAGCATGCGGAGGTCGAGTACCAGCGCGGCGCTGATTCGGCCAGGGTTAACTTCTTCGCCAGCCAGGCGCTCCATCACACCGAGCGGGATCGCTACTTGGAGGAGATCGCCGAGGTTCAGACGGAGGCCAGGGTGTTGCGGGCGGAGAATGCCGCGCTAGCGGAGGCTGCCCAGGAGCTGGTCCAGCTGCAGTCCGCCGAGGTTCAGGGCGACGTGCAGCTTGACGCGGAGGACGAGGACGAGGACTTCGACTTCGCGAGCCACAGACCTGCATATCATCAGCCGCCGCCAGGCCTTCCAGCACGTCCGGCTGCTTTGTCGAGTTCGCCGCCGCCAGACGCAGGCGTCGCTGGGGCGATGCTAGCGTTCATGGAGCAGATGGCCGAGCAGCAGCGGGCAGGCGCCGAGGAGCAGCGTGCGCTGCTGGTCGGGCTTACGCGCGCTCAGGAGAACTTGGCGGAGGCCCAGCGGGAGTCGGCTTCAAAGCTGAAGCCGGCGAAACCAGTCCTGACTGCGTCCGACGCCGCGACTTTGAAGGTGCAGCTCGAGAAGTTCAAGATCTACCAGAACGATTCCCTCCAGGCGAGCAAGGCCATTCGGATTGAGGGCGCTCGGGCGATTGCAGAGGGCACGGCGAAGATCGAGATGGAGGACTTGATTGTGACCGAGTTGGGCGGCGAGGACGCGTACCAGGCACTGCTGAAGGAGCGCTCCAACCCCAGGTGGGAGGCGATCTGGATCAAGTACGTCCGGCGCTTGAAGGTCGCGGTGCACTTGGGCGACGAGCGCGAGGCGAACGAGGCGGTGCGGATGTACTCCAGGCTCTCGCTCGCCAAGGACGCCAGCATCGACGCGGTCGCCAAGTTCTTGAACGAGTACACCGCCGTCCGCACCGACATGATCAATCACGGGCTGCTCACTGACGACTCTGAGAGTCCAATGCTGATGAGGGAGATCGAGGAGTTCAAGACGAAGATCGAGGGCTCCGCGCTGATCACCCACCTCTTGGACCTTCCGACGTTCCCGAAGAGAATGGCCATCAGGGACGACGAGGACTCTGGGATGACGATTCTTGGCCGCTGCCGGCAGTTCGTGCGCGCCCGGGCGCGAGTGGGTCTTGGGGCTACTGATGCCAAGCCAGGTCAGATATTGACGTCGACCCTTTCCATGCCAGACCCCAAGGATCCGAAGGCGAAGGCTGCAGCAAAGAAGGAGGCCAAGAAGCTAGATCAGGAGAAGTTCGCCAAGGCCAAGCAGATCATCGAGTCCATTTCTTCCGCAGGCTCTTCGGCAGGGGCGCCGCCGCCGCCGACGCCGACGGCCCAGCAGCTAGGCGCTCGCTGGCAGGCCGCGCGGGAGCCCGCCAAAGGGGCGCCCAAAGGCGACAAAGGCTTGCGAGCAGGCACTGGCGACTGCAGCCGGTGCAAGGGGACCCGCCCTGAGTGCCCCCTCTGCCCGAACCAGAAGGCCGGCGAGGAGCAGGGCTTCGACGTCTCGAAGTGCGTTAAGGACAGCATCCCGTGCTGGTACAAGCACCAGGGCAAGGGGAAGCTTTGCGGCGGCCTCGGGCACTTCGGCCGCCACCGCGCGCTCTGCTACACAGAGAAGGGCGCGAAGGAGGCCGAGGAGTCTCTCAAGAAGAAGGAGGAGAAAGGCGCTGGCAAGGGCCGCGGGGGCAGGGGCAATCCGAAAGGAGGCCGTGGCGACGGCAATGCCCGCATGCTCAACTTCGACGGCAGCCACGTCACCGACCAGCAGGAGCGCACTGACCGCGCTGCCGAGCTGCTCGCGTCCCTCATGGTGATGGACGCCGATGGCGAGACTTCGGGCGAGGCAAAGCCTGGGGGATCGCGGGTCAACCTGGACGAGTGCCACGAGTTCGCCTCCGACTTGTGGAAGCCGCCGCCGGCGCGCGGCTGGCTGGTGCGCACAATGAGCCAGGTGCGGCACTACCTCTTCAAATTCACCATGTTTCTGATGGGCTTCCTTGCGCTGTCAGCCGTGGTGGGCATCGTCGCTTTCGGGCTCGAAGCCCGTGTACATAGTGCAAATTCTCCATTGATGGCCACCGCTGTCAATCACGAGTTCGTGCGCAAGGTTGGCGCGCTGAACCAGTCATCGCAGTACGTTTTGAATGTCTCTGGCGGCTACAACTGCAGAGGCTTCACTTGGATCGGACCCGCTCGCACCGAGACTGTTTTCGACACTGGTGCGACTCGGAACTCCATCGACCGTGGCTTCTTGGAAGCGCTACTCAGGGAGCCGAAGACGGCCGACTTCGTCAAGGACGTGGAGCAGATCCAGCCGATCATCTGCAAGTCTTTCGAGAAGGGCCAAACCGTGACTGTCAACCGGCTGGCGACGTTGGAGGTCAGTTTCCGCGAGGATGGCGTGGCGAAGGCCGAGGCGATTTTGATTGGGTTCCTTGTCGTGAAGGACTGCGCGGAGGACCTGCTGATTGGGAAGCCTACCTTAGACCGGTGCGGCTTTGTCTCGGACAAGGACCAGATCGAGCTACGTTCGCTCGGAGTTCGATTTCCGACGGTCCTCCCAGGCGAGAACGACCACCCACAACTTCCTGCGCGTCTCGGACCACAAGGTTTTGGAGACGCCCCCTGGCCAGAGCATGGTCAAGACTGTCGCGATGCGTGCGCCTCCAGAGGCACGGTCAAGCAGCTTTTGGATTGAGCCAGGCCCTGATCTCCCTGATGGCATCCAGGTGATCGAGGGCCCCATGGTGGTCAAGAACGGCATGTTCAATGTGGATCTGTTTGCACATGAGCGTGTTCATCTTGGACCTGGGCTTCGCTTACTTCGTGCTCGCGAGGCAACGCAGCACGACGTCGAGGTACTGACGGCACTAGGCAAGGAGGAGTCCAGGCGCGCTGCCGAGATCTACCAGATGCACCAGGCTCGGCACCAGGCTTACCAGGACTACGAAGGGCAACCTACCAGCTCAGGTCGGACAGACCCTGGATCTGGCTCCACGGTGGCCGAGATCCTCAAGACGTCCTACAAAACGCGCGGGAAGAAGGCCCGCCACGAGGAGCTCTTCCCTGACCTCGTGAAAGAGATCGAGGAGGACAGGAAGAAGCGCAAGGCTGAGGTGCAGTGGCCTGACCAGGAGTCGCCAGCGTACAAGGATGAGGCCGAGAAGCAGGCAGCGCCGCTCCTGGGCCCCCAGCTCACGCGGAAGCAGCGCCAGCGGTTCCTGACGAAGGTCGTACGGGTCTTCACTGCTTGCTTGTGGTTGCCTGGCTGCAACCCGCCGCGCGTCAAGGACTTCGTGGCCGACATCAAGCTTCGTGCTGATGCGACGCCCAAGGTGACGCAGCCGTTCCCCTTGAGCAAGTTCGACGACCTGCGTCTTCGCTACCACGAGGACGTTGAAGTGGAAGAGGGCAAAGCTCGTTGGCTTCTGCCTGGCGAGCGGTCGGAGTGGGGCTCACCATCGTTCGTAGTCGACCAGGACAACAAAGGCTTGCTGGGCAGACCAGTGAGAGATTACCGCTACCCGAACAGCTGCACCGAGGAGGAGGCGTGGCCGAGTTCTCGAGCTGACGAATGCTTGCAGCGTGCCCAGAACGGTGCCTTGCACACGCAGCTCGATTGCATCTGGGGCTTCACCCAGATGGAGCTTGCTCCAGAGGCTCAGCGGGTCTTCACGCTGGTCACGAAGCGCGGGATGCTGCGCCCGCTCGTGCTCTTCTTTGGCGCGAAGCAGGGCCCCGCGGTCTTCCAGAAGCTCATGGACTGGACGTTCGGCGATGTGCGCGGGCCCAGCGACGAGGAGTTCCACTCGGTTTTCATGGATGACTGCACGTTGTCTACCGAGGCCTACGACAACGACACCGACGACGACGTGGTAGACAGGCATATCGAGCATTGCGTCCGCTTCCTCTCGGCCGCCCGCGAGAAGAATATCCAGTTCAAGCTGGCGAAGAGCAAGTTCGCGCATGAGTTCATTCACCTCTTGGGCTTCAAGCTCGGTCGAGGCCTTCGCTACGTGGACCCAGGCAAGGCAGAGAAGATCGAGAAGTGGCCGAACCCCAAGAGCATCGACGACCTTGTCAGCTTCCGCGCGTACTGTAACTTCGTGCGCGAGTTCATCCCGAATTTTTCGTCCACCGAGGTTCCGCTGAAGCGCTACATGAAGAAGGGCGCGAAGTTCGTGGACTACGAGAAGGACCAGGACGCCCAGCAGGCTTTCGAGAAGCTGAAGCGCTCCTTGGCCCGCGAGGTTGGACTCGCAACTTTGGACTACGCGGCCGCGGCTGACCCTCAGTCTGGCCGTCCGATCGAGCTGTACGGGGACGCCTCCGACATCGCGTGGGCGGCTACGCTGGCTCAGAGGCGCGAGAAGGATGGGCCTTTGCGTCCAGTTGCCGTCGTCGGCCGGGGCTTCAACGCTACTGAGCAGGGCTGGAGCACCTTCGAGCGCGAGTTGTGCGGTCTACGGGAGGCGCTTTCGGCCACGCACCACCTGGCCAAGGGCTTTGTCGTGATCGTCTACACCGACCACCGCAACAACATCTTCACCGACTCGCTGTTCGCCAACAAGCGCATCTCCAAGAAGTTGCTGCGCTGGGCCTTGGACTTAGAGGACCTGGGCTCGCGAGTTGTACGTGTTTGGCTACGTGGTGAAGATAACATATTGGGCGACGCCCCCAGTCGCAATCCCGAGGACCGGGATGTTCTCCATACTCTTCGAGTGCCAGGTGGACCCGTTCGTCGCGTCATCGAGCAGATGTTCACCGCTCCGTCTACGGCTGAGGGATCGCTTCCTTGAGGAGATTGACGGCAAGGACTGCCAGAAGGAGACCAAGAAGCGCGCCGAGGACCAGGCGCCGGCGAGGACCGCCACCACCAAGAAGCGCGCCGAGGACCAGGCGCCGGCGAGGACCGCCACCACCAAGAAGCGCGTCGAGGACCAGACGCAGGCGAGGACCGCCAGCTTCAAGAGCGCCGAGGACCAGGCGCCGGCGAGGACCGCCGCTGCGACGAGCACCGAGGACCAGGTGCAGGCGAGGAACGCCACCAATAGCGTCGAGGACCAGACGCAGGCCCCAAAGGCCACCGCCACTGACCGGATGGCGGCTCCTTCTACTTCCCCTTCTCCGACAAGATCGAAGTACCATGTTGGCACGGCAGGCCCGTTGACGCGAGGCGCTGCCACTATAGTACCTGACCAGCAGGCCGAGGACGCGAGCCTGGGGGATTCCGACGACCACGTGATTTGGCCGTCTTCCCTGGATCAGGTGGGCACCGACGGCGGGGACCTGGAGTACTCCGACTCCGAGCTGGATTCTTTCGCTGGGCTCCAATCTTCGGTTCTTGCTGATGCTGACGGCGACCCTCGTGTTGCAGCGACGTTGTGCAGGTTGGTGTCTTCTACCGTGGACTTCGAGAAGGACGAGCTCGAGGTGCACCCTAAGTTCATCGATGCTCATGCGTGGGACGGCTCATACCCGCGACACGCTTTGGTTAGCTTTCTACCAGTCGAGGCAGCGGCTGAGGGAGCTCCAGCAGTTGACCCGAGGCTCCCCCGTGATCCTCGAGTCCTTCCTTACAGGGTCATGTACGTGTGCGACGACTGGGGCGAGAACTTCACCGTCTCCTACCGGTAGCCGCAGGTGTGCAACGACGGCGTGACCCGCAAGACGATCTGGTACAGGCGCAAGCCCAACGGGGTCGCCGAGGGCTCCGAGGAGGCGCTTGCAGGGCGCAAGAAGGCCGAGGACCTGGCCTGGGCCCACGTGGAGGCGGCGCTAGACCGCCCAGTTGAAAGCTTGGAGGTTGAGCCAGCGGTCGGGTTGGGACCGCTCAGTGGCACGGGCTTCTTCAGGAGGCACGGCGATCCGTTCGAGGGCTACACCTTTCACGTGCATCCTAGACGCCCAGACTTTCTCAGCCGCAGCGTTTGGAGGCCTGTGCGTGACACCTTGAAGTCCGCCGAGCAGTTCTGCCATGCTCATGAGTTCGTTCGACGATTTCCTAACGGCGTGGAGGTCTACCGATGCCGTGGGCACGAGATCTTGGGCAGCAGGGTGGACCCGCTCCCAGCAGAGCTGCGGGGCAAGCCGCTGAAGGACCGCCGGCTGTGCGAGGTGTTCAGCGGAGTGGAGTCTGCGAAGGAGGCCGGCGCGATGCTATCGCGCATCTGGGAAGCAGCAGGAGGCTACGCCGAGAGGTTCGACAGCAGGATCGACGAGCGGATGGACTTCCTCAGCCCAGCTGCGCGCGAGTGGAAGCACAAGCACTACGAGGTCCCACGATGTCTACCACTTCGCGATCCCGTGCACCAGCTTCAGCATCGCGAAGACGTCGCCCGAAAAGGTCAGGTCTTTGGACAATCCATATGGCGACGAGACGAACGAGGAGGTGGTCTACTACAACAAGTTGGCTCGTGCGGTCTGCTACTTCACGATGGCGCTCATGACGGAGGGCGCTGTGGTTACCTTCGAGAACTCTTTGATGTCGTATCTGTTCTTCCTGCTCGAGTACTCTTGCATGATGGGCTTCGATGGCTTCGGATCGTTCGCAGCGACCACTGCCAGGGCGGGGCGCCCTACCAGAAGCCGCAGGTCTTCGCCGGGAGCACGCCTGCGCTGAAGGACCTCGGGCGTCCGCGCAACCACGTCAAGCACCAGGTGATGCTGACAGGCGCGATGGCGAGGAGGTCTGCCCCGTACCCTCGCGCACTTTGCGAGCGAATCGTGGTCGGCTACGTCAAGACGCTGAGCGCGACTGGCCGACTGGGCGCGGACTGTTCCGAGCAGGCGAACCGCTGCATGAACAGTCTCATCGCCGAGGGCGTCGTCGACCGCTTCCCATCGGGCGTGTCCTTCAGTCTCCTCGTGGCCGAGGGGCAGCGCCGAATTACTCAGCTTCGTCATGGGGCTGCTCGAGCAACTCCGCCTACTTCTGATCCACCTGGACCTGCCGCGGTTCCTGACGTTCACGCTGACAGGCCTCAGTTGCGGGTCGAGATCAAGAAGGCGAGCCAGCTCTACGTCCCAGATAGCGCGGGGAAGATGATCAAGCGCAAGACCATGGACGCCAGGACAGGCGAGATCCTCGAGGATATAGACATCGACGAGGACACGACCGCGTCTTACTTGCAGCGGGGCTTGGACAAGCGGCGCGACATTGTCGTCGAGGTGTGGTATGCTGCTGAGGAGGGAGATGCTGCTGCTGATGACCTTCCACCAGCGCCACCCGCGCCGAAGGCCTTCGACGAGCTGACCGAGTTGATACCTTCAAGCCCATCTTCAATACAGCGGGCTCAGGTCATCTCGCTCCTGCAAAGGGATGAGGACTTCGCGGACATCTACGCTGCTCATGTACTTCTTCGCCGCTACGAGGACGAGAACCGCATGATTGACAATGAGAAGATGTACAAAGACTTGAAGGCGCACCTTGCTGCTCGAGGTGTTGGCGGTCGCCAAGCGGCACGGCGATCCTCAGTGGCACGTCGCATGATGGGCGGCTACAGCTACAGGGACGGGCTTCTCTACAAGGACGAGTGGGACTCGACGTCGTTGAGCTTCGTTCCGAAGGTTGTCGTGCCCCGCGGTGGTCGTCGAGCTTTTCGCTACAATGGGCGGTTGTACAGGCTGCCGTTGAGGAGGCAGCTTCTTCTCTATTACCACGACAGCGAGACCATGGGCATGCACAGCTCCGCCGAGGACACCCTGGCCAAGCTCGCGAAGCAGTTCGTGTGGCCAGGGATGGAGCACGACGTTCAGAAGTGGTTCTCGTCATGCAGCGTTTGCCGGATGGTGAAGCCGGCGCGCGGCTTGACTGCCGATGCGAGGATGGAGCTCTACGACAGGCCCTTCAGGCTGATCGGGATCGACGACCTTGGGCCGATCTCGCCAGAGTCGGAGGGCTGCAGCTACATCTTGCACGCGGAGCGCGCCTTCTCGCACTACGCTTGGCTCAAGGCAGCGCCCGACAACTCGGCTTCAACGTGGGCGAAGTTCTTGGTGGAGAACGTCATGTTCGACCTGGCCGGCTTTCCGCCGGTGTTGCGGAGCGACAGGGGCAGTGCGTTCACGAGCGAGATCGCGGCCCAGATCACCGATCTGCTCGGGGTCAAGCACTCGCTGGGCAGCGCCCACCACCCAGAGTCGCAGGGCTTCGTGGAGGCACGCCACCAGAAGATCAACAGGATCCTGGCGAGCTACTGCAGCTCGCACCCTGAGCGCTGGGCGCGCTGGGTACCCTTGGCGCAGTGGTGCCTTCGCGCGACGCCGATGCCTCACCGCTCTGGCAGGTCTGCTTTCGAGATCGTGACTGGCATGCTGCCGCAGGGGCCGATCGAGGAGGTCTTCAGGAGGCTCGAGCCAGGCAAGGCGCTCGAGCCCGGCCACTACGTGCGCGACCTCATCGAGCACTTGGAGTCGACGCACGCCACGGCGGCCAGGGAGATCAAGGCGGCCCACGACGAGGAGCAGCACGCGCGCGCACTGCAGGAGCCGGGCGCTCGGGAGTTCCAGACTGGCGACGCAGTCCTCCTCCGCGCTCCGCCCGCTTTGGTGGCCCGCGCGATCGGTGCGGTGGACGGTACTTCGACGAGGCTGCTGCCGAGGTTCCGCCCCAGGATCTACCGCATCCACAAGATGGTAAGCCCGCAGTTCGCCATTTTGGCAGACCCAGATACGGGCAGCACGTCACTGGGCTCCAGTCAGCCGCGCACGTCGACAGGCTGAGGTTCTTCGAGCTCGCCGAGCTGGACGTTCCGATCAAGGACGAAGAGCTGCGGCTGGAGATCATGAAGGGCAGCGCCTGGGTCAGGCACAACGTTATCAGTCAGTCGGCGACTGGCCGCGTCGAGATCGTGCGAAGCGACGACGTGGACGGCAAGTCCGAGTGGGTCGACCTGGCGACCGAGGAGTACCGTTGGTTGTACCCGCTCGTGAGTGAGCCGGCTGCTGGTGCCGCCCCTGCGCGCCGCCGATTGCGAGTGACTTGAGAGGCGAAGAATGCTTCGGCACAGGTCGAGGGCTAGGGGGATGCTGGGAACCATTTTGCGCAATAGTAGTATCCCTCTCCCAATGCCTCCTCTCATTATTTGCACGTAGTGTGTCCATTTCTACATTTGTATTCTAGAGGCGTGTTTGTTGCACGTAGGACTTATTAGTCCTCATATTTGCATTCAGTGCATTTCGTTTCATATTTCTGGGGGGTCTTGGGTGCGAAGGTGCACTTTTGGGCGAGCCAGAACCAGATGAGCAGATGTGCGCAAATGGTTTTTAGGATTATATGTCTGGCCAATTTCTGCTGTAGTTGTCCTTTCTGGGCCCCAGGACCTGCAGATCGAGGTCCGGGATGCTCCGCAGTGGAATTTCCCAGTGTTTAGAGGTCCTGGGCCTTCCTACAGCATGTTTTCGGCCTTAGGAACTTTTTTCAGATATCATTTCTGAAGGGTCCCCGAATGCATATTTTGAGAGCGGTTTTCCTGGAACCTGAGACGCTCTGCCTGGCAACGGGCATCGTCTCCAGGGCGCCCTGGTGAGACTGGGCACGGCAGCGTGACCAGCGTCACTTCAGACCCTGTACAGTTTGTACTGTTTCACTTTTGGCTCAAGTCCGACCGAGACGTCGGCATTGTGTCCCTCGTTAGCGTATGGGAAAACGACGGACCCGTACCATCGACAGTGCCACCGATCGTCACAAGAAGCGTGTGGTTGTGAGCTTGGATTCGTGGTTGCGTGCTGTGTTGTTGAATCTGCCGCCGAATCCTCGACTCGTGAACCCTCACCCGGTTTCCCAGCTGGCTGCGGTAAGGCACCTAGAGTTGGTTGAAGCAGAACATACGCTCACGCGCCGCTGGTGGAGGTCTGGAGGCAGCGTCCCTCTTGTGGGACCTCTGCGAGCTTTTACGAGGCGATCTCTTTAGGTAAATTGTGGGCTAGATCTCGCCAGTTTGAGCCCCCCCCCCGCACATCGCACCCCTGTGGATTCTGGGCCCGTCTTCGCCGAGCACGGGGTCATCGCGGGGTGTTCCATGGCCGCGAGTTTCGTCAGTGTCTATCTCATTTCTTCGCTCGACTTGTTGTCGCCGTCGGTCTCTCGTTCCCTCGACGTCTGCATCGACGATTACGGTTTAAGCATGGAAGCTAACCTAACCGTTCCTGCATTCTGCGCGTCGTTGTTGACGCAGCCCGTGAGCCCCACAGCGTTATCACACTTGACATGCAGCGCACGATCTCCATTAGAAGAGGCTGCTAGCGTGGCCTCCTCCCAGGATCTAGGCAACCAGATCCGCAAGTTACTCGGTGGAGGGCTCGGAGAGATGGAGCGCACAATGGATTGCAATTTGTTTTGGGGGGGGGCTGCTCGGCGGACATGAGCAGGAGGGCGCATCGGAGATGCAAGGGGGACGGTGAAGAGATGAAGGTGATCTCCAAGTTCTCGCTTAGACTGGCACATTTCAAGAAGCGCTGCCACAGGCTCAAGGCTTGCAAGAAAATGCTCGGTCGGCGCTCCCGGCAGATATTCGTATCAGGACCTCTGGCAGGCGTCACTTTCGGCATTGAGGTGCACGGCGCCTCCGATTACGAACTTCACTCCTACCGTCAGGCCACGGGGGCGGATTTGACGCCGCCCTCTGGGCAGCGGTCGCCCTCGCGCCTGCTGCGGCTGGCATCTGATCCCGCTTGGTTCGCGGCCGCGGCGCCGATCCTCAGGCGCGACAAAGAGGTTTGGGCGAACCAAACTCGTCTTTTCAGATACCCCCTCACCTTTCTGGAACTCAGAGTTTCTTGGGATGCCGCCTTTGGGCGGGGGGGGGGGGGGCTCGGTCGAGCCAGCGTGGGGAAAAAATGAGGGGGCCCACTAGAGGCTACGCGGCTTTCCCTTAAGCGCACGGGGCGGGCCACGAACAACTAGCACGCGTTTGTCGGTGATTTCGGGGAGGACACGCGTTTGGCGGCCTTTGGGCCTGGGGTCGCGAAAAAGAGGAAATAAAAAAACGGGATGGGGGGGCCCTTCGGCAACTTGAACGAGACATAGGTAACGCGCAGGGCATGAAGAGAGCCTGCGTGGACGTCGCGGCCTCAGAACTTCGATCTAAAAGGCGCCCCCCACCTTAGCGCGCGGCTCGATCATGAATCTGGCCCGCGGCGGGCTCTGAACCAAAGATCGCGCGGTCTTCCTTGAATCTATATATATTACAGGGCGCGATGTGCGAGCACTGCCAGGCCTGCGATGGTTCGCCCGCCCATGGGCTTTGGAAGTGCGACCGCTGCGCTGAGGGGCGCGATCTCACTGTGCCTGAGAAGGTCCGGCCTTTGTCGGCGAACGCCGATGTGTCCGACCCCGAGCAGATGCCCATGTGGTCTTGGGATATCTTCCAACGCCTAGGATATCATTGGCTTCGCCCTGTCAGTAGTGGGGGCGCCGAGGTCACCTGGCGCAAAAGATGGCCAGGCTCCGACCGACATCGAAGGCCATTGTTTCTTGCGTGGGTCTGCGTACAAGCATGTGATTCGGGAGCTCTCCCGGGCTGGGCGGGGGATTCAAGCCCGGGGCGCCTCCGGCAATGGGACTTGCATTTTTGGGGCCCTGTCCTGGCCTCCTGCCCCCAGACGTCTCAGGCTGGGGAACCTGCCTCGCACCCGGCCTGCGGCATCTCCCTGGACGGCTCTAGTGTAGGATATTCTGACTGTGCGACTGCGGTCAAGGCTTGCGCGGCCCCGATTTCCACGCAGTTATCTCATCGGAGGCCGCGTGATGGGATGACGCTAGACGGCGGGAATCGCGTTTGGCAGTCAATGGAAAAGGTACAGGCCCATCAGGTTGAACATGACCAGATGTCGGCATCTGACCTGTCCCGTCTTCGCGTGAACGCCGAAATTGATAGGGCAGCGAAGCGAGGTGCTGCCTTGCATCCCAGGCCGCCACCGGCGGATGTTCCAGCTTTGGATGGACGGATGCTGATCAGCAAGACTGCGCGCCGCCCAGCGGGAGCTCTCCTTCCGCATTGGCACAGGCTAGATTTTTCGGAGTGTGGATACGCTCCCACCGCTACACCGAGCCCACCCAAGGAGGTGGGAGTTCCGCGTCAACGGGCTCAGTTTCGGGGGATTTGGAAGTGCGAGCGATTCTCGAGATTCCGAAGGTCCTCGGCGCAACCTTCCGAGGAAGCCTGCCATGGCCATCCTCGTGCCGAGCTGGATCATTTTCGTTGCGGGGACATGCTGCGCTTTCATTGGGATGCCCGAGCGGAGGCAGCCTCTTTGTTTGTGTTAGCTGTAAATCGCACACCACCCTCGGGCAGTTTCGCGATTCGCCGGCACCGCGTCGCCCTCTAGACAGGAGCTCGGGGGGAGGCAGGAATGCGATGTGTCGCTGAAAGCGCATTCAGCGGAGCCTGCACCCGAAATTTAATGACGCGGCCGTTCCCCCCCCCCCCTGGGGATGGCGGATCTTTTGGGCAAGAGGTCGCCCCCCCGAGAGAAGAGGGGGACGACGCTCTTCTCGCCGCAGCCGCCCGCGCATCTCAGGGTGTCTCGGGCGATTCGGAGCACGCCGCGGGAGCTCCAAGTGCCGCGCCGAGTGCTGCTAGCCGCGCGGTAGGAGTTCAATGCGAGGATCACCGACAGCTGGGCGCCCGCGGGTCTTTCTGGCATGGTCTGGACGGCCAGTCCTCGCACCCCCTGCCTTCGAATTTCTCACCTTCTGACTCGGGCTGAAGACGCGGTTGCGAGCTCAGGCTGTTTCCCTGCATGTGTATCAGTACATCGGGTGCAGCGCGCAGTTTGCTCTGCGGTCTCTAGACCTGCGCGGCGGGTTCGATCTGGGGCCCCCGCGGCCGCCCTTTTCATTGCTGCGCGCGTGTCCACTCCCCCTGCTTGCACGGCCGTAGGGCGCTGGAGGTAATTCCCCCCCCCCCCCCCCCTGCGGTGACAGCTGCGCAGGGGGGCCGCTCTTTTCCTATGCCTGGCGGTCGTTGGGCTCGCGCGGCGGGTTCGATCTGGGGCCCCCTGTGGCCGTCCTTTTTCATTGCTGCGCGCTGTCCACATCCCCCTGCTCGCACGGCCGTGGGGCGCTGGAGATAGTTCCCCCCGCGGCGGTGACTGCTGCTCAGGGGGCCGCTCAGTCTCCAAGTGGGCGCGGTCGTTGGACTCACATTGCGGGCTCGATCTGGGGTCCCCGAGGCCGTCCTTTTCACTGCTGCGCGTTGTCCACGTCCCCCTGCACGCGCGGCCGCGGGGCGCTGGAGGTAATTCCCCCCCCTGGCGGCGACCTGCGCAGAGGGGCCGCCTTGTTTGCCGAGAGCGTCGGGGCACGGGGGAGGTTTGCCCTGTCCTCCTCGACCTGTGCACCCCGTCGCCACCCACCCTCAACAGTGGTTTCTGTCTTGTATCGCCGACGGATGCCTTGTCGTTGGCGGCTGAACCGAGGGTCGATCCGCGAGGGAAGGGGGCCATAGTGGGCGTTCCGAAAAGAGCTCGCGAAACTCCCTCCCCGAAGCGGCGCTCGCCGAGGCGAGATCGCCCTTTTGTTGTTCTGCTGCGCGGGGGGCACGTTCTCGTGCGTGCATTTCCTGCCTGCTGCTACAGGCGTGGTCTCGGCCTGGCAATGGTGCCCTCGTGCAGTTGGCGTTAAGGCGCCGCCTGCTCGAACAAGGTGGTTGTGGGAGCCATCTGGAGTGTGACTGTCAGGAGGCCCCAGGAAACCCTGGGGGGCTCCAGGAGGCCCCAGGAAGTCCCAGGAAACGCTAGCAAACCCCAGGAGGCACCAGTAAGCCCCAGGAGGCCCCAGGAGGCCCCTACGGGCCACAGTGGGCACCAGCAGGCCCCAGGAGGCCCCGGGAGGCGCCAGGATGCTCCGGGAGCCCCAGGAGACCCAGGACGCCCCGAGGAAATCCCAGGAGGCCCTCTGGAGGCCCCAGGAGGCCCCAGAAAGTCTTCATGCCGACCCCACGTGCGTGCTTCACGCATGTGCCAATGGATTGCCCTTCTCCTGTGGCTCGAATCCTATGTGTTCTTCTGGTCTCGAACCCTATGCGTTTAACATATGTGTCCAAGTTCGCATTCGGACTCGCTCACAATCAAACCCACACTCACACTCACACTCACGCCACTCACACTCATACATTTCTCTCTGACACACACCGACACTCCAATACCCAGACCATTCACATTCAGATACACTTACCAAATGCTTGGCCATACTCCGACTCATACACATCGACTCGCTCACGCCCAGATTCGCCCACACACGGACTCACAATCAGACCCACCCGTTCTTAGTCTCTCTTACTCAGGCCCACTCAGGCCCAGACTCTCTCGCAGACATCCGCAGCGGAAATGGTCCAGGCACATGGATACACATGTGGGGATCTCCGCGTCGAGTAATTTATTTGTCGTCCAAAGTCCGCCTGCAGGGGGACACGCCCGACCTAATAGTAGGGGCCTCCTCCAGGTAGCGTCGGAGGCGTCCTGAAGTTGACCCCCAGACTGTCTCGTAGTCGTAGGTGAGGCCCGACGCCCGTGCTGGGGCCCCGGCTCTCGATCCTCGGCTGATGTGTGCGGCCTCCCTTCTACGACGAGGATGAGGTGGCGAGGTTGGCCGTTGGCCGGCCCCTCGGGCCCGCACCTCGCTGTACCTCGCGTTGTCGACCGGGCGCGAGGTCCCAGGGCCGACCACTTCCGGCGGCGGCGGCGGGAGTGGCCCAGGGGGGCTGGGCGGCAGCGGCATCCGCAGCACCCGAGGCACGCCCGAATTGGGCTGATCCGGAGGGCGTCGACTGCGACGGCGAAGTCCAGACAGCCCCGACCCCGATCGATATGCACAGGCATTCCAGGGTCACCAGGGCCGACGTCCAGGCGATTCGGGGAATACGCCGGGCCTGGCGGAGCGGGGCCCCGAGAAGGCCCGCCGCGGGGTTGGCTGCAGCAGCCGCGCGGCCCAGGCGGGCCCACAGCATGGCGGTCCAGCTCCAGGCGGCAGCAGGCCCAGCCGAGGGCGGTCTCCATCTTGGACGGGGGCGGCGGCGAAGGGCCTGAGGCTGGCGGCTCTCCCATCTCGTAGCCGTCGTCCTCCGCGTCCTCGTCGTAGCCATCGTCCTCGTCGTCTTCGACGGTGATGTCTGCCGCGGTGTGGCGGACGGGCTTGTCCGCGATGAAGCGCAGCGTGTCCGACCCTGCCCCGCAGCAGTACCCATAGTGCTCGTAGTACCCAATGTGCCTCTGAGCTGCCTCTGGCGCTCCTGGCTCCTCGTGTGGCGAGGCCGCGGCCTCAGGCTCTGGCCCCGCGTCCTCGTTGATGTCTACCGCCAGGTCGACTCCCCGAACGAGTTCAGCTGCCGATGGGCCCGCGAGGCCATCTGGTGTCCCGACCAGTGCGACCGCGTCGTCGAGCTCGGCAGGCCTCCCGAGGAGGCCCAGACAGCCCGCGGCCGCCAGATGATCGAGGTCATCGTAGGCGTTGTCCCGCTCTTCGGCGGCCTCCGCAGGGGGGGCCGCTGGCGCGGGAGGCGCCGGCACCGGCGCCTGTGCGGCGCCTGCCGCAGGGCGGGGGCCCAGCAGCGCAGCCGGCCCAGCGGCCGCGGCCGCGCTTGCGCCCCAGCGCAGGACAGCGGCGAGCGCTGGGGCAGCGAGCATGGCGGCGGCCGCCATGGCTGTGGCACCCCCCGAAGGGGGGCCCTCCTCCCGTTGCAGAGAATAGGGGGCTCAGCGCCGCTGAGCCGAAAAAGCTTCAGCGTAGACCCCCTCTTCTGCGACCCTTGCCCGTCAAACCTTACGTTCTGAGCTACCGCACCGAACTGCCAGTATGTCGCGCACTCTACGCAACATATATCACGATGTATCAGAGCAGTGTGTGTCTGCGCACATTAACACTACATTAAACTGCAAGCGTGGCTACAGTATGCTTGATGTTGTTCGCTGAGCCATCAGATGTTGCAGTTGTGTTACACTCACAAGATATGTTTGGCGTTGTTTGGTGAAGGCGTCACGTGTTGCGCATAGTTGTTTGGAGATCTAGTTGAGATCCAGCGATGCGTAGTAATAGGAATTGCGAAGCAGTGTGTGCGAAATGTGTGTCGTTTGGTGTGGTGTCTTGGGCGATGCCCGAACGTGTTTTGGTGTAGTATCATGCACGTCTTCCGTTCCTTTCATATTTCACCTTGTTGCTCCTTTCCATTTTGGGGCGTTGACTTGTCGCGTCGTTTGGCGCCTTCATGTCACGCACTGCGTCAGCACAGGTTTTCGAACTGACGGGGGCATCCACTGTGTTCTAGTGTTGCTTCCTTACGCCAGTGGGTTGTGGTATACGTGTTGTTGTTAAGTACTCTTGCTTTCGCATGTCAAGCGATATGCTCGCAGGCGGGCTACTTGAAGCAGCAGGCCTTGCAGATGTCCCGCCAGACCATCCGTGCGCAAGCCTGGTGGCGTGGCCGCCTCTGCCGCTGGCGCTTCCTCCGGCTGGTGCGGGCGGCGCTCCGGCTGCAGGCTGGCGCCCGCGCGATGATGGCCCGCCGCCTCGTGCAGTCCATGCAGCGCCAGAGGGCCGCCGTGGTCGTGCAGAGCGCCCGTCGCATGGTTGCGCTGCGCCGGCTGCGTCTGCGCAGCTTGCGCGCGGCATGCATCATTCAGTTCTGGTTTCGATCTCGAAGAGCGCAGGCAAAGTTGCTGCGAGCGGCCGTCGCGGCCCGCAGGCTGCAGTGGTGGCAGCGGGCTTTTTTCATGCAGCGGCGGCGCGCACTGCGGAGGTGGTGTTCGGCCTGCCTCCTTCAAAAGGTGTGGCGAGGTCACAGGGGCCGTCTGGTGGCGCGCGAGCAGGCGAAGGCACAGGAGCGGCGCAGTCGTGCTGCCAGCAGGGTGGTTGGGTCCTGGCGCAGACACGTCTGCAGGCGGCAGCTGCAGCAGCGGTGCTCCTTGCTGAGTGGCTCGGCTGGCCTCCTTCAGAGAGTGTGGCGAGGGCACCGAGGCCGTCTGGCTGCGCACGAGGAGGCCAAGGCAAAGAAGGCGTGCCAGGAGGTCAAGCAAAACGCCAAATCCGCCATGGAGAGAATAAAGCGAAGATCAAAACGCAGAAGCCAAGAAGTCAACACACAAGCCACTAATCCAACACGTCAGACTGACAGTCAAACAAAAGGATTGAGAACAATATTGAAACATACACATGAGAGACTGCGTATGCAAGTCATGCTACAGCTAAGCCAAAATGCAAAACAAGTACGTGAATCCCACCGTACACCCAGTCCCGATTACCAATTGTGTAAGTAGATGCTTGAATCCAATACACAAGACGTAAGGCTAATGCCCATCAGCGCCTCAGGAATAAACAGCAGCATACGTCAAAACATTCAAATTGTTTTGTTATGCCTCCACCCTGGTTTATGAGGCGTTGTGCGCTGAACCTCCTGTGGGCTGACAGGGTACGCCCTGCGTATCGCGCGTGCCGCGCGGCGTCCTGGCGGCTCTCTGGCCTGTGGGAGTTCCCAGGAGGTTTACTGACCACGCACTTGTAACCCAGGGTAGGGGCGTGTTTTTCATTCCTCAAATGTATGTACATACATACATACATGCATACATACAGACAGACAGACAGACAGACAGACAGACAGACAGACAGACAGACAGACAGACAGACAGACAGACAGACAGACATGCATGCATGCATGCATGCATGCATGCATGCATGCATGCATGCATGCATACATACATACATACATACATACATACATACATATATACACATGCATGCATGCATGCATGCATTCATACAACCATACATACATGTATACACACATACCTACCTACCGACCTACCTACCTACCCACCCACCCACCGACCGACCTACCTACCGATCTACATCATGCATGCATACATACATAATTTATGCATGCGTGCGTGCATGCATGCATGCATACATACGTATGTACATGTATACATTTACGTATACATGTGTGAATGAACCTCTGTAACATAAAAATACCCCCTGGCCTGGGGCCGTCCAGTCCGCAACCATTCGGGAGGCCTCCAAGATGGCCCCAGGAGGCCGCCGAGATGGTCCAAGAGGGCCCGAGACGGCCAGAGCTCGCTCCAAGACGCCCAAGATGGCCCCAAGACGGCCCAAGAAGCCTCCAAGACGCCCCAAGAGGCCTCCAAGTGGCTGCCTAAGAGGGCCCCAAGACTCAAAAATTGTGTTTCGTCCGAAGGTTTTGGACGGTGTTTTAGGTTCTCGCTGTTTCGGCTTCCCGACGCTCCAAGGCGGGCCAAGAGGCCCCCAAGACCGCCCCAAGACGGCCGAAGAGGCCCGCAAGACGGCGCAAGAGGGCCCCAAGATGGCCCAAGAGGCCTCAAAGACAGCCCAAGAGGGCCCCAAGACGGCTCCAAGAAGGGTCCCAGACGGGGGATCCGAACAGATTTTTCGGGCCCTTGGCCTCAGGAGGCCCCCAGAGGCCCCCAAGAGGCCTCCAAGAGGCCCCAAGAGCCCCCAACCGGCCCCCAACATGCCTCCAAAATTGCCGCCAAGAAGCCCCTGAAAAGCCTCTCACGATATCCAAACGAGCTTCCAAGAGGCCTCTAACCGACAACCCAGGCACGGTGGCGGGATGGGTCGAAGGCCACTGGACGGTCCAATCCAAGACGATTTCCAGACGGCCCAAGAGGCCCCCAAGACACCAAAGAGGTCTCCCAAGAGAGCTCGAAGAGGCAGAAAAACAGTGATTATCCTTGGGTGTTTGAGCATTGTTGGCGTTTCGGCCTGTTCAGCTTCCCGACGCCGCAAGACGCGCCAAGAGGCCCCGAGGATCGCCCCAAGACGGCCCAATTGGTTTCAAAAGCGCTTAAAAGCGGCCCCAAGACGGTTCCAAAACGGCCGAAGCGACGTCCAGACGGCCCAAGAGGGCCCCATCCACAGCCCAGGATCGGGAATGTGAATTGAGAACCCGAAATATTCGCCCCAGGAGACCCCAGGAGGCTTCAAGAGGTCCCCAAGAAGTCCCAAAGAGGCCCAAAGAGTCCCAAAAGAGGCCCCGAGGGCATTTGAAAAAAGGGTATTCCAACATTGTTTTTGTTCCAAGTTTGCCTGGAAGCTTGGCTACGCATGAAAAAAAAGGAATTGCACATTTCCTCCTCCTCCTCCTCCTCCTGCTCCTCTTCTCCTCGTCCTCTTCCGAATGTTCCTCCTCCTCCTCTGCGGCCTCCTCCTCCTCCTCTTCCCCCCCATTCACCTCCCCTTTTCCTCCCTCTCCCTCCGGCTACGTCCAGCCGCGGCGAAGAGAAGGGCCCCCGAAGTGCATCTTGGACTTGTCTTCGGCCGCCGAGGGTGGACCTTGGGAAGCTTTGGAAGCCACTTGGGCCGTCTACGTGGTTCATGGAAGCCCTGGAGAAGAAGTATTATACAGTAGTGGTCCCCAAAAGTTCGACCATCCAGTCTAGCTAGAATTTGAGCTCGCGCGAAGCGCGCGCGATGGTTCTAGTATGTACGCATAAACAGATGTGTGTATGTACATGCGTACACATACACAAACATACATACATGCATGCTCAGACACAGAGCGCACATCAGCAATGCTCCGCAAGACCCTGCAACATCAATGCACCATACAGCTTTCCGCTTGCAAATTGGCTTCGTTCCGAGCTTGTAGTACGTTGATACGTGTGTACACATAGGTGTATGTTTTCACACTGCCAGTTCCTCTAAGCAATGCCATAAATCTGGCAGCACTGCATGGCCTGCACCCTGCAATCTGCCCGGTTGCTCTAACTATTTCAAACATTGTGTTCTCATTGTTTAAAATAACAGCAAGAAGCAGTTAAGAGCTTCACCCAGCGTTATCAGTAGCGCATACATTTATTAATAATTTCCCCTGGGGTTGGAGGAACAGCCGCGCGATGCCGCTGCGCATCTCAAATACATGAATTGCACGTGGAGGGGGGGAAGTGAGAGGAGTGGAAGAGGCATCCCGATGGTGTTCTCATCGAACATCGAAGAGGACTTCCTGAGTAGCCTCTCATCGAAACCATTCAAGCTCCCGAAGAAGGACCATCAAAACCATCGAGCCTTGTTGACGACGACGTCGACGACGTCGAATCCTAGAGGAACCCTGGAAGCGCATTGGAGCCCACGAGCCCGATTGGAATCGCATTGGGGATCGCGCAGGAAAATCGGAAACCATCGGAAGGGAGAGAGAGAGAGGGAGAGAGTGGTATTGAAAGAGATAACCATACAAACGTATATATATGTATATACTCGTGAGAGAGGGCAAAAGAAGAAAGAAACACAAAAACGAAACGTACCCAACCCCTTCTCAGAGAGAGTCCGCTATTCAAAGGACAGCCTATACAAAAGAACACGTTGCAAGGACACTCGGCTTCGCTGGACCTCACAGGAGCCCAGGACAGTGGCAACAAGTGCGCATAGAGCAACCCCCCAGGGAGGTCTCGGCTCGGTCTGCGTGCTCCCCCACTCCGCTGAGCCTCCCAAGAACCCGCGAACGCGGCGACAGTTGCGCAGGTGGCAGTCCCCCAGGGAGCCGCGAGTTCTCAGCTGGATGCGCGTACTCCCGCAATTCTGTCGGGTTTTCCAGGGACCCTTGCAAGTGGCGACAGTTGCGCAGGTGGCAGTCCCCCATGGAGCCGCGAGGTCTCGGCTGGATACGCATATTCCCACCATTCGGCGACAGTTATGCAGTTCGCAGCCCCCCAGGGAGCTGCGAGGTGTCGGCTGGGTGCGCGTACTCCCTTATTGCACCGTGCCTCCCAGGAGCACACGAACAAATTGCGACAGCTGCGCAGGTGGCAGTCCCCCAGGTGGCCGCGAAGTCTCGCCTGGATGCCCCTACCCCGCCGTGCCCCCCAGGAACCCACGGAAGTTGCGACAGTCGCGCAGTTCGCAGCCACCCAGGGAGCAGCGAGGTCTCGGCTGGGTGCGCGTACTCCCTTATTACACCGTGCCTACAAGGAGCCCGCGAAAAAGTGGCGACAGTTGCGCAGGTGGTGACAGCCCCCCATGGAGCAGCACAGCAGTAGGCAGGACGAGGGAGATGGAGAAGGAGAAGGAGTGGATACCACAGTGCCTCATCCAAAAAGATAACCCAACACAAGAGGGCTGGGAAAACAGAGAAAGAGAGAGAGAGAGAGCACGGTACGTGAGTCTGCGGATATATGGGTTCCATATGAGCCCTTTATCAAGCAAGTATGTGTGTTCCTGCTGCTCAGTGGAGTACGTAGACGACGCTGGGGGAAACCCACCCCTTGCACCGACCGCGCTATTTTAGCACCGCAGCTCCGAGAAAAGAATTCCCGCGGGGAGGGGGGGCAGGACGGAAAACAAGAAATCCCACTGGAATCTTTCTGTAATCCGATAGGGGCACTCTCGGAGTCCGATTGTGACTTGTTCGGCATGCCATTGAAATCTGATTGGGATTCGATTGGAACTCGTAGGGATCCGCTTGTAATATGGTTAAGATTGGATTCGAATCGTGCTGAACATCTCATTGGAACGTGATTGCAATCCCTTTGGAATCTGATTGGGATCCACTCGGACTCATTTTGGAATCCAGTTGGAATCGGATTGGGATCGCATTGGACTCCAACTGGAATCCTATTGGTATCAGATTGGAGTATTGTTTGAATCGTATGGTAGGCTTTTCGGACTCGATATTAGAATCTGATTGGGGTTTTCGTAGAATCCGACTGGAGGGGTCTTTTTCGAATGCGACTGGAACCTTGTTAGGCTGTATTGGAATAGAATTCGAGTTTTATTGAAATCGGGTTGGCATCGGATTGGAGTCCTGATGATTCCTTTGGACTCCCGAGGAATGCTGGGAGGGCAGGATCGATCGGGGTGCGGAGTAGCATTTCCAGGGGACGGGCAGCGATATGGCTTTACCGGAAGGGTTGGGGGGGGGAGGTGGGAGGGAAGTCGTAGGTGTGTCTGGCTGTTATGTCGCACAACCTGGCTCCCTCGACCTATCCAAATCTCCTAGCTGCGCCAAGGATTGCCCTGAACGAGCTCACTGCGCCCCTCGTCACGGGACAGCCGCGGGGCCACCGTGAGACAGCCGTACCCGGGCGCACGACCAGCGGCACAACGGGACAGTCATGCGACAGCACCGGGACAACCACAGGACAACCACATGAGGCGCCCCAGCAAGGGCCTCGGCTTCGACGTATCGAAGACGCCTATGACGAATCACCGCCGCCCCTTGCCTTTTGGAATCGCCCGTGTGACCGAGCGTTGTGGCACTAGCTCTGTCGAGCTATCGGGCCATGTGTTCCACCAGCCGTTGTGGAAACCCTTCGGGGAACACGTGGGGTAGGATGGCGGGGAAGATCATGAGGAGGAGGAGGAGGAGGAGGAGGAGGAGGAAGAGGAGGAGGAGGAGGAGGAGAAGGAGAGGAGAGGGGGGGGAGGAGGGAGAGGGGGAGGAGGAGGAGGAGGAGGAGGAGGAGGAGGAGGAGGAGGAGGAGGAGGAGGAGGAGGAGGAGGAGGAGGAGGAGGAGGAGGAGGCCAAGAAAGCCACTGGACAACCACAGGACAATGTCGTAACAACCTGAGAGCCACGCGGCGGCTGGGGGGAGCAAATGCATAGCGCGTGCCACATGATGGGAGAATGTCGCGGCACGCACGGCACGAAACGAAGCCAAAGTCGATTTCCGCGTTGGGTGGCGTTCCGTATCAGGTCGATCTAGCCCACCCAACTTCCGACACAGCAGCACGTTGCAGCAGCAACACGTAGCAATAATACGTAGCAGGCAGCAAAACCACGTTGCAAACTTACGACGCAATCAGAGTACCCTAGCGGCCTTGTGTGTGTTGAACATTCAAGCAGATTTCATCATGGTTAAGTGTTGCGTTGCAGCTGGGCTGCTCGGACAAATTTCCCCCTGACCCACGAGTAGGACCCAATAATTCCGAAAACACGCAGCTGTGTTCCACAATGAGTTGTGGGGCGGGAGTCCCTGATCATTAGGCTTCTACCCATTGCGCTCAGCATTTGGTGATGATTCCCTGCAATTCCAGACACGTATAGTGATTGGCTCGTACTGTCTGGAGATATGTGATTGTTGCTGAAACCTGCTACCGCTTCACGTTTAGACATAATTGTTGTAATATGTTTGCACGGGTTGCTCATAGTTGGTGCGCGTTGCCTTTGTGGTTATGCACGTTGCGTGTGTGATGTGTTTGCGATTCGTGCGATGCGTGTTGCCTAAACACGCTGTTACCCAGTTTTGTTTACGTGTAGGTCTCTGTTCTACCCTGGTCTTTTCACGGTGTCTACTTATCCCCCTTCGAGTTGGACACATTGTTTGGGCGTGTTGTGTGTCATTGTTTCCGCGAAAACCAGTATGCGTATTATGTTTACGCGTTCGTGTCGCGTGTTGTCGGCGCGAACTGCTTCTTGTTATTGGTAATCGTTCGTTTCTACTTGCTTGAATTAAGTGCTGTTTTCATTCGATTGAGTAATATCTTCACAGGCGGACGACCTAAAGCAGCAGACCCTGAAGCTGTCGCGCCAGACCATCCGTGTGCAAGCCTGGTGGCGCGGCCGCCTGTGCCGCTGGCGTTTCCTCCAGGTGGTGCTGGCGACGCTCCTGCTGCAGGCTGCCGCCCGCGCGTTGATGGCCCGACGCCTCATGCAGGCCATGCGGCGCCAGAGGGCCGCCGTGGTCGTGCAGAGCGCTCGTCGCATGGTGGTCGCGCGCCGGCTGCGCTTGCGAAGCTTGCGCGCGGCAAGCGTCATCCTGTACTGGCTGCAATCGCGAAGACTGCGGGCACGGCTGTTGCGAGCGGTCGCCGCGGCCCGCAGACTGCAGCGCTGGCAGCGAGCTTCCATGCAGTGGCGGCGCGCCCTGCGGCGGTGGTCCGCGGCCTGCCACCTTCAGAGGGCGTGGACAGGCTACAGAGGCCGTCTGGTTGCACACGAGCAGGCGAAGGCACAGGAGCGGCGGTGTTCAGTCTGCCTTCTTCAGAGGGTGTGGCGAGGCCACACAGGCCGCCGGGCCGCAAGAGAGGAGGAGAAGGCGCGGGAACGCTGCAGGAGTGCCGCCGGCAGGCTGCTGGGGCCTCTGCGCCGGTACGTCTGCAGGCGGCGGCTGCAGCGGCGGCGCGCCTTGCGGAGGTGGTCCGCGGCCTGCCTCATTCAGAGGGCGTGGCGAGGCCACGGAGGCCGCCTGGCCGCGCGCGAGGAGGCGAGCGCACGGGAGCGGCGCGGGAGCGCCGCCGGCAGGGTGCTGAAGTCGTGGCGCAGGCACGTCTGCAGGCGGCTGCGGGTCTTGCCCAGCGACGAGCTCGCGAGGGTTCAGCACGTCGCGCCCCCGCGTGCCGCCCCGAGGAGTCATGCCCAATCTTTCCCACCTCTCTCAATGATGGGGCCCTGAAGGGACGGGAGAGGCTCACAGGTTGAGTTGGCATTGCTTGAGACCCCTCGACCTCAGGGCTCCATCACTCAGGGTCCAATCTTTGCCCCGCAGGTCACTCCATCATAATCCCCCCCCCCCGCTGTGCGTCTCCCCCGAGGGTCCCTGCGCTCTTCCTGGCGCCCGCCCTGAACTCCGCCGAGGCGCGACTGGAGCTGGAGGCGAGGGGGAGGTTCATCGGACTGCAGCGGGCCTCGCTAGGGGAGCTTCTGGCCGCGAGGGAAGAGCTGCAGGCCCGCGTCGCCGCGATGTCCAGGCGCTCCCACGTGGCCCGCAAGCTGGCGGATGACATGAAAGAGCGGTTCCTGGAGCTGTCGCGCTGGACCGCCTTCGGCATGATGAGCCAGGTCGCCGAGAAGTACTTTGGCTGCGGCTGCGAATGCAGCGGCAGGGACCGTCGAGACTTCGCGCCCGCAGACGCAGGCCTCGGCGACCAGCAGGAGCGCAGCGGCTTTCCAGAGCCCGCGCGCTGGCTGACCCCGCGGACCGCCCCGCCCAGCGCTCGGGGAAGCGCCCCGCCCAGCGCCCGGAGAAGCCCACTCAGCGCCGAGTGAGCTGTCCGGCGAAGCGTTTCTAGGACCCCTCCACCATGTACCGCCATCGTCGGTGCCCTCAGCTGCCTCGATACGCCCGCTTGGAGACGCAATGCGCACCGTGCTTACAACGTCCGTGTCAATGCGTTGCGTGTCGGCTCAGCGTCTGGGCCCACGTTTTGGCGAATGCATCGCGCCATACGTACGTGTTCAGTCTACGTGCTGAGCTCCGTATCGATGCGCTACGTGTTGCGTTCTCCGTATCGGGGCAGCTAGGTCGATGCCATACCTCGCCCCTGAGCCCACAGCTCCCTTGCGCGACGGCAGCACGCGCGTTGTTGACGAGCTCAGCAGCACATAGCGCCGCCACAGGCGGAGACTGCTCGACGTCGCCTCGCGACGGGGCGAGCATGCACTTGCGAGGCTGTATGTGCAACGATGGGATTGCAGTGTCTATCGAATACGCCTACGGCGAATCGCCGCCGCCCCCTGCCTTTTGGAAGCGCCTACGTGGCCGAACATTGTGGTCAGAGCTTGGCCAAGCCATCAGATCGTGTGTTCCCCCAGCCTTTGTGGAAACACTTCGGGGATCGCGTGGGGGAGAAAGAAGAGGAGGAGGAGAGATTTCTTCGGGCTTTCCCTTCAGGTTCTCTCGGAGGCCTCGTGGCTGCCTCTCGGGCCGTCTTGGGCTACCTTGGGGCAGTTTTGCGTGCATCTCGGGCCGTCTTGGAGATATCTTGCAGCCCCAGGTGGCTTTCTTGGGACCATCCCAAACTTCTTGGCAGCATCTTGGAGGCCATCTTCAGCCATCTTCGCCGTCCGGGAGCGGGAAGACCGACGACCTGGGAAGCTTACGGGTCCTTCTGGGGCGTTGGCGCCATCGGCCAGGACCCTTTTGGGGGATATGTGTTCAAAAAGGCCCCACTCACATGCAACATCTCACGTGCGTGCACCCCTGTGGCAAGACCACAGGGGTGGCGGGTCGAAGACGCACATGGCGAGTCATCGCCGCCCCTCGCCTTTTGGAAGCGCCCGTGTGGCCGTACGTTGCGGCCAGAGCTCGAACAAGCCATCGGACTGCATGTTCCCCCAGCCGTTGTGGAAACGCCGAGGGAGAAAGAAGAGGAGGAGGAGAGGGAGGATAAAGGAGGAGGAGGAGGAGGAAGAGGAGAAGGAGGAAGAGGCCTCTTGGGAGCCTTTTGAGGCACTCTTAGGGCCTCCTGGGAGCTTCCCGGGGGCCTCTTGGAGGCCTGATTGGGGCTTCCTGGGGCCTCTTGAAGGCCGCTGGAGCCTCCTTCGGAGGCTCCTTGGCCGTCTGAAAGCGTTCCTGGCCTGCCTGACGCCGTCGGACGCCACTTGGGGGTCTTATCTGGGCCAACTTGGGACCCTCTTAGGCCGCTTCAGGGTCGCCTTGGAAGCCGTCTTGGGCGTCTCGGAGGTCTCCTGGGCCGTCTTCGGGCCCTCTTTGGGCTGTCTTGGGGTCCTCTTGGCCATCAGGGGGCCATCTTAGAGTCGGCTTGGGCGTTCTTGGAACCATCCTGGTGGCCGCTGGGGCCGTCTTGGCCGTCTCAGACGCGAAAATGAGCAAACGCCCAAATCGTTCAGAAACGTAAGAAAATCATCGAATTTACCCCTTTTCGGGCTTTCCTGGAGGTCCTTTTGGAGGCCTCTTGGGCCGTCTTGGAGGCCTCTTGAGCGATCTTGAGGCCATCTTGGACCATATTGGGGACATCTCGGCCCGTCTGGAAGACATCGTGAGGCCATCTTGGGCTCTATTTGGCAATCGCAGCCGGCTTGGAGATCATCTTGGCCGTCTTGGAGGCCGACGACGCGCACGCGTGTACTGCGTCCCATTTGTTGCACAGGGTTCTCGTGACAGCACGCGCGCAAGGGCGTTCGAACATGTTCGGCATGCGCGCGCGAAGCCATTTTGGTAACATGTTCTGGGGATGCTGAAAGCCGACGGGTTCCTTGACAATTCGCAAGAGCGCGCGCGCAAGCTATGTTAGATTTGACAGTTCTGTGCGAAATTCTTGGGTACACGATTTTGACATCCTTACGAAACCAAGGATTGTTTGAGGGGTTCGGCATGCGCGCGCGACGACGCGCGCGCGTATGCACTTCGTCCCGTGTTTTGCAAGGAGTCCTTAAAAACTGATGATTGTTGTCAAACGAGTGCGCGCGCATAGCATTCGTTGCAGAGGATGGCGGGGAGTGCCGGTACCAGTTCAGCCTGGATGCTATGAAGGTGCGAACTCTTATTTTGGATGGACGATGAGGCAGGGTCATATGTAAATTGCCCTACGAAGAAGGGTGCGGGTAATCCCGGGGGGTAGAGTCTAAATCTGCGCGGTGCAACCTGCGCAATGCAGTCTATGCGGTGCAAACCATGTGATGCAATTGATTTTAACAAACGAGTTGACACATCCCGTGCTCTTGCAAACATCCCACCCACCCACCCGCAACTTGATTTGCAAAACCCATACGGTGGCGATTGCGATGCATGCTCGGCGTTGGCTGGTGCGTCTCTGCGGCCACGCCAACCCAAGCACGCGCGCGCAGTGGCCAGCTGGTCTGGCACGACCGACGCGGCCGCGGTGGCGCTGATCGTTGGGCACATACCAACGGGCACTTCATTGCGAGTCGGTGACTCGGGCGGGCGCGGTATCATGGCAACGTCGACAATGGTTGACGTTGCGGGCGAGTCTCCAACGATTTCGACGACGACGGCAACGACGACGACGACGACAACACCGACGACGCCGACGCCGACGCCGACGCGAACGACGACGACGACGACTACGACAATGACAACGCCGACGACGACGACGCCGCTGACGACGACGACGACGGCGACGACGCCGACACCGACGACGACGACGACGCCTGCGACGACGACGACGGCGACGACGAAGACGACGACGACGACGACGACGTCGCCATCGAAGACGGCGACGACGACGAGGGAGGAGGGAGGACGACGACGGCGACGACGACAACGACTGGGGAGGAGGGAAGACGACGACGACGGAAACGATGACGACGACGACGACGGCGCCGAAATAGGAGGGACAACGACGAAACGCCGACGAAGACGACGAGGAAGCAAGGACGACTACGGCGACAACGACGACGGAAACGACGACGCCAAAAAGGAAGACGACGACGACGAGGAAAGACATAGGACGACGACGGCGACGACGACGACGAGGGAGGAGGGAGGACGGCGACGACGACGACGACGACGCAAAAGGGCGCTCGCGCACACTTTTGTTGAAAATCCGTGGTGCGAAACCATGTTTTGGTATGTTTTTTGGACACCCGATTTGGAAACCCTTGCGAAGCCTAAGGTTGTTGAACAATGTTGGCATGCGCGCGCGGCGACGCGCGCGTCTGCACTTCGTCCCAATTTGTTTGCAGAGGATTCGCGACGGCACGCGCGCAAGGGCGTTCGAATGATCTCGACATGCGCGCGCGCGAAGACCGTCTGTTTTTTGTTGAAAATCTAGAAAAACCTTTTTTTGTAAGAGTTCGCAAGAGCGCGCGCGTAAGTTTTTTTAGAACATCAGTGTTGCGAAACCGTGTGTTTTTGTATGTTTGTCCGGAAGCTCGATTTTGAAATCCTTCCGAAACCAAGAGTTGTTGAAGGATTTCGGCATGCGCGCGTAACGACGCGCGCGTGTTCATTTCTTTCCATGTTTGCAAGGGGCTCTTGAAAATTTATGATTTGTGATAAACGAGTGCGCGCGCATAGTATTAGTTGTAGAGGATGGCGGGGGGGCGGTACCGGTTTGGCTGGGATAATATAAATTCACAGAGCTGGGGCAGAATCAAATGTAACTTCCAATCCGAAACGGTGGCCCGTTAGTTCCGTGGGGGGGGGTAGAGTCTATTCTTCTTTTAGACAAGGAGAATCAATCACTTGCTTATCTTGAAGCTGTCCTCTCCCGCGCTCGTGCAAACATCCCACCCTCCCACCCGTAATTTGGTCGCAAGACCTCTTAAGACCGTGAGGGTAGGTACAACATTGCACTTGGCAGCGACACCCACGCCGACGACGACAGCGACAACGACGACGACGACGACGCCGCCGACACCGACTACGACGACGGCAGCGACAACGACACCGACGACGACGACGACGACAACGCCGACGCCGACGACGGCGATGACGACGATGACAACGCCGACGACGACGACGACGCCGACGACGACGACGACGACGACGCGACGACGAAGACGACGATGACGACGACGACGACGACGGACGAAGACGACGACGACGAGGGAGGAGGGAGGACGACGACGCGACAACGACGACAACGACGAGGGAGGGAGGACGGCGACGACGCGAATGACGAAGGAGGGAGGACGGCGACGCCGACGACGACAACGACGAGGGGGGAGGGAAGACGACGACGACGACGACGACGACAACGACGACGGCGACGAAATACGTAGGAGGGACGGCGACGACGACGACGACGGACGACGACGACGACGAGGGAGCAGGAAGGACGACCACGATGACAACAACGACGGAAACGACGACGACGCCAAAGAGGACGACGACGACGAGGAAAGACATAGGACGACGACGGCGACGACGACGACGAGGGAGGAGGGAGGACGGCGACGACGACGACAACGACGACGCAAAAGGGCGCTCGCGCACACTTTTGTTGACGAAGCCCTGTGTTTGTGTATGTTTTGTCTGGACACTCGATTTTGAAACCCTTCCGAAACCTAAGGTTGTTGAGGGACTTCGGCATGCGCGCGCGACGACGCGCGCGCACTTCGTCACATTTCTTGCAGAGGGTTCTCGCGACTGCACGCGCGCAAGGGCGGTCGAACGATTTCGGCATGCGCGCGCGAAGCCCGTTTGGTAGCATTTGTTGAACATCTTGAAGATTCATGGGCTTACGCCACACCGCCGACCCCTTGGGACTTCTGTTTTTTTGTTTCCTCCGCGCCCAACGGGAGTGCCTCTTGGAGAGTGTCATCCTCGGAGGCGCGTTGGA